CAATTATCAATGTAACCCCTAAATTATTAGTAGTGTAAATATTACCCCTCAAATTTCAAAACATGACATATATTGTCCATCCCTTAATATGAAAAAATAGAAACATTGTTGTCGGCAGAAGGAAAATAAACGAAAAAAAAATTGGAGAAAACAAAATGTGTTTTTCGAATAGGGAAAACAGCGAGTCACCACATTTACACCACTAATAATTCAGAGGATGGACAATATATGTGATATTTTGAAAATTAAGGGGCAACATTTACACCGCTAATAATTCAATGGTGACATTGATAATTGACATATTTGTGAGGGGCATAAATTATAATTTTTTCTCTTGTATTAAAACTATAAGAAAAAATTATAAATGTACTCCTATAGAGTATAACTTCTGCCACATGTACAAATTTTATTAGATAAAAAAGTAAATAAATAAAAATATGTGTCCACTTTTTTCTCTCTTTTTATTCTTAAATCAATCATGATACCTCAACAGAGATTAAAAATAAATAAATATAATAGGAATAAATGTAATACTCCATATTACTCAAAAAGTAAGTACATCTCCAAGTCCAACCATGGAGATAAGAGGAGAAGAAATGGAAGAAAAATAGAGAAAATGACTGGAGGGGGTGGAGGGGAGGGGGGGTATAAAGATTAATCTTACGCGGAGTCACTGCTATGTTATACTTTTTTTTTTTTATTAAAAAAACTAGTATTTTATATGTGTCATGCGTAAAAATATATGCCTAATATTAATACTTAATGTTAAAATCTTGGTTATATTAAAATATTCTTTTAAATAATAGTGTGTGTGTGTATATTTATTTATTTATAATTGTAGAATTCATTTTAATATTATTGAAGTACGAATTATAGAAATGATAAATTACTAAATATAAATATGGTAACATTTAATTAAAATATAAATGAATTCAAACTTACCATTGAAGAATGTAAGAAAAAATATTGTGTATGCATGTGCGTGGTAATAATAATAATTTGAAAAGATAATAGAAGTTATAACGATAAAGATAATTTTGTCCAAAAAAAATATGTAGTACAACTTTTATAGCATAAGGTACAAAAGAAATTAACAGAAAAAAATGACATAAACTATGAATATAACCTAGATTGAAACTTATTATGTTTTTAGATTAGAAAATCCTTTAATTTTGTTTGCAATGGAGCCGTTCCAATTGTTTGTTTTTATTTTTTATTTTTTCAAAGGTTTTTTTATTTGTTTATAAAACCTTTTATCAAATATTAGAGAATGATCAGTTTGGTGTCCCAGTGTGGCGCCAATCAGGCATGTAACTTTGTAAATTGTAATTTCTAATTTCTCTCTTCCTTATGATAAAAAAAAAAAAAAAATTGTTTCCTTTTTTATTTCCTTCTGTTTTTATTTTTTGATTTTTTTATTTGTCTCAGCCTTTTTTTTTTTTTTTAATTTTTAATGTTTTTTTAAATAATAGTATTGTTACTTAAATTTATTTTTATTTAAAATTGTAATTAAAAATTATAATTATAAAGTATAATCATTAATTATGAATAAGTGGATAAAATAATATATTATGTGCATAGGTGTGAAAAAATAGGACCCACAAAAAAGAGATAAGAGGATAAGAATTGAATAAAAAATAAAAAGAGGAGATTATATATAAGTTGATATGGAAGAATTGAGCACATAATTGTGGATGCCCTAATAGTTCAAGTTAACTAATCTCATCCACACAACAATTAACATTGCACGTAGCTCAGGTACCACTGTACTAACACCTCTTTAATTTCTATTTAAAAAAAAAAATTTGTCAATAATTCCATACATTTCGGACTCGGATTTATTATAGCCGTTATTATTGTTACATGATCACACTGCACACTTCTAATTTTTGACTATTTACAAATCAACAACTTTATGATAGGGTAAAATATTAGGCATCACTGATATCTAGTATTTTACCATATCATATAATGGTTAGTTTATGAATGAAAAACATTTCCGTAATTAGGATTACCTTATTGTTACTGCATTGGTCATATCAACATAACTCATTGAAAAGTCAAATATAATCACTAATATACATTAGTGCATTACGTATGCCTAGATCAGTGAACTGATTAGCTCATGTCATGGTTAGAGCTATGCGTTCACAAACTGGTCTCAATATTTGGTTTTTATATATTTCTTCTTGTATTGAACACTTGATTTAATAATATCGTTATGCTTTGTTTTTCAAATAATAATAATAATAATAATAATAATAGTAATAGTAATAATAATAATAATAATAATATATGATAAATTAGGTATATTACTAAAATAAGCTATTAGTGAGAGCTCATGAATAGCTTATTATTAGAGTCCTTTATTCCAATTATTTTTTAGAATAAAATGATTTATTAAATAACGGAATATATTTATTATTGAGAATGTTATTCTATTCTAACTTATTTTATGAAATAAATATGCTTTTAAATAATATTAAAATGTTATTTGTAATAAAATCAATAGTATTTTAAAAAAAAAAATAATATTAGAATGTTTGATCATTTGAAGTGAAAATAATTTTAAAACAAGATATGTACTTTAATTTGTCCTCCCATAAATTTAATGATTTTGACAATAGAATTGATTCCTGCTTCGCAGCAGCCATATTGGTATACCAAATTAAAATAAATATTGTACTTTTCTTTTGGGGTCTACCATATCATAAATATCAGCCGCCAATTAATTAGAACCACATATTGAGATTAAAAAGATAAAAATTTATTCATTCTTTCAAAAGGTTGAACTCCAAGAGAAAAGTTTATTCATATAAAAACTGTTGGTCCTTTCAAAAAAAATAATAATAATAATAACTGTTGGTAAATGGAGTATTAATGTAATTACCATTAATATTGAAGACCAAAGTATGTATGATGGATAATTGAAGAGCATATATTGTGTGTAAAAAAAAAAAAACAAATTAACTTTTTTGATTCATTGAATATCGCACATATATCAAATTTGATTCTTTACTATTAATATTTTCAAATTAAATGTATGACTATGTAATTTGTATCATATTTGGTCCTTGACTATTAATATTTTTAAATTAGGTGCATGATTATGTAATTTGTATCACATTCGTCCAATTTTTCGGCCAACTATTGCCAGAATTTCAATGAGAAAATAATATGTTCTAATTAAAAGGGTATTTTCAACCAACTATTGTCAGAAAAATTATTATTTTTCGTTTAAATTTCGAAAGGGTTTGTTGTTGTTATTATTATTATTATTATTATTATTATTATTATTATTATTATTATTATTATTATTATTATTATTATTATTATTATTATTGTTGTTGTTGTTGTTGTTGTTGTTGTTATTGTTATTATTATTATTATTATTATTATTATTATTATTATTATTATTATTATTATTATTATTATTATTATTATTATTATTATGGTAACTTCATACTATTTAATATTGCTATTCTTAATTTGGCTAAAATATAGTTTAACAAAATATTTTTAGTCTATTAGTTACTCAATTTCTTGCTGAAATTCTAGCTGCAGATTTTCTTAGTTGAAAAAAAAAAAAAAAAAAAAAAAAACTATTGTTTCTTTTTAATTTCATAAAATTATTTCCAGCTAGTAATTCAGTCGACCAGTCAAAGTGATTATGGCCCTGTTTGATAAATGACTGATAATTGTTAGCTGTTAGCTGATTGTGTTAATTAAAAGGTATAATTAGTTGATAACATTAGCTAATTGTAGATCGAAATGTATTTGGTAAATTAACTACTTGCTAATAACTGTTTGATATAATTTATTTTATCGAAAAGCTAATTGAAAAAAATTGTTTTGAGTATGTAGCTCTTTGAATTTTAACATTTTGAAATATAAAAAGCTAATTAACCAAAACATATAGACCCTGTTTGGTAAAAAAAATTGGTCTATAGGCCAATTTTGGCTTATTTGACCACTATTAATTGTTTGATTTAGTTAAAATATCAATAGAAATGTTTGGTTAATTAGCTTTTTGCAACTCCAAAAGCCTAAAATTCAAAAAACTACTCCAAACAACTTTTTCAATTAGCTTTTTGAGAAAAGAAATTATATCAAATAGCTATCAGCTAACAGCTAATTTACCAAACACTTTTCTACAATCATCTAATGTTATCAACTATTTATACCTCTTAATTAACACAATCAACTAACAGCCATTTTACCAAACAGGACCATATTGATTTTTAAACCAAATCAAACAACTAATAATGATCAAATAAGCCAAAATTAACCTATAAACTAACTATTTTACTAAACACGCCTATAACTTCCAATCACTTTTTCAATGGTTACATAATTTGACTATCACGAACCCTTATGTTTTGATTATAGGTGGTGTGCCCCCCGCCGCCCAAAAATAATAATAATAATAATAATAATAATAATAATAATAATAATAATAAATTTCTAGCTAGTTTTCAACCAAAAAGGAACTTTTTATGTGTGTTTATGTTTATTTCTCACTAAGCAAAGCTTTAATTGTGTCATAAAGGAAGTCTTTGATAAATAGTTAGCTGATTGAGTTAGAATTTGACTAGTTGATAATATTAGTTTATTGTAGAATAGTGTTTGGTAAATTAGTTGTTGGATGATAGCTAATTATATGCAAAATGACTTTCTCAAAAAATTGATCGAAAATACTGCTTTGAACAACTTTTTGAATTTTAACATTTTGAAGCAATAAGTTATTAAAAAAAACTAATTAATCAACTGGCCAAAGCCAGGTTAGATACAACTCTAATTAATTACGGAGTAAAATTTATAATCTATCTATTATTAATTAATATATAGGAAAAATGGCTTTGGTCCCAATTAATCAAAATCCTTGATGGTCCCTCAGCTGTTAATAACCCCCTTTGGATTGATTGTAGTGTGGGCCTCCCTCCCTCACTCCTATATAAACAACCCATCCCATGCATAAAGCCATAAACTAAACATCTATCCAAAACCCACAAATCCAGTTTTAAGAATATATAGAATTTTTGTCTTCCATTAATGGCTCTCTCAATGGAAATCGAAACCGTTGATCCTCCATTCTCTTCAGAAATAACACAAACCCAGGACGACGACGACAAGGCCGCCATTGTGAGGACCCTCTACGCAGCCCTGGCGGCCGGCGACAGCAGCAAGGTGGCCGGAATCGTGGCCGGCGATCTAGAGTGGTGGTTCCACGGCCCCCAGAAGTGCCACCACATGATGAACATGCTGACCGGGAAGTCGTCGGCGTTCCGGTTCGAGCCGCGGAGCGTGGACGTGATCGAGGACCGGGTGATCGTGGAGGGGTGGGAAGGGGCGCAGGCCTACTGGGTGCACGTGTGGACCATTGATCAACACGGCTTGATAACTCAGTTCCGGGAGTACTTCAACACCTGGCTCACCGTCACGGAGCTCCGACGGGTCGGCCGCCTGAGCTCCTCCACGGTCTGGTGGAGCCACCCCCGGGACCTGGCCAAACGCTCACTCCCGGGGCTTATGCTCACCATTTAACGGTGTCCATCTGAGTGAGGCTAGGGTGGTAATTAATTAATAATTCCTACTTTCAGTTAAATTAAATAATTAAAAAAATCCCAGAAAAATGTTTTAAAAAACAATAATAAGATGCAAAAAGCTTCATTTGTATGAGCAACCATGAAACTGTAAATTTAAAGTGTAATTTTTATTAATAAATTACACTTAGCTTGTTGTTCAAAAGTATACCAAATCTCTTAGCTTTTCTTTTATTTAGTGACAAGAGAAATTCGAACTATTATCGGATGGTCTGAATTATGTAAACCAACTCTACTTTTATGTAATAATTCACAAACTACTTAAAAGAAGTAAATTGCATTACAGAGTGAAATCCTTTTCCTTATTTTATGATGGAGGTAATTCCATTTTTTATCCTTAGATTTATGGGTGGCACATCACTTTTAGTCATCTTTTATCGGAACATTCCCTTTTTGTCTAGTATTATTGTGACATGACCAATTCAAAATCGTTAAAATTTCGTTAAATACAAGGATATTTCGATCTTTTTAATACAAAGTGCGTTGACCCGTTATATTTGTTATGTTTTTTTTTTTTTGAAAAAATTCATAATTCAATATCGAAATGTCCTTGTATTTAATGGTATTTAAACTGTTTTGTTGATAGAGAACCAAAAATGATCATGCCATAATAATATTAAGATCAAAGGAGGTTGTTTTGAAAAAAAAAAAAAAAAAAAAAAAAAAAAAAAAGACTAAAAATGGACTGTCACTTATATATCTATGATAAAAAATAGAATTAACTTTTTTATGATGTATGAAAAGTAATTAACGAATGAAAGTTTTATTATTATGCTAAAAATCTTAATAATTAGAATATGAGAACATAATTTGTGTGTTTCGTTTTCGTTATCGGTATATGTATCGAAAGCTATCAAGGTTTGTCGAGCGGCCAATTGTGTCAATGGCATCTGTTGTATACTATTTATTATTAATTTTTAGTACTCAAATAATTTATGATAAATAATATATGGCATGCTTGTTTTGTCCAGTTGTCCATCAACAGGACAGTGAAATGCTTTCCCAACATTTGGAAGTAGTGGTTGGCGAGGGGTCATCGTTGAAAAATAATTTATTTTGAAAGGATTTATTAACAATTTGGATTTTCTTAAATAAAAAAATATTTTAAATGTTCCGATCAAAATGATTAATAGATTAATAAGAAATTGATTCTTAAAATGTAATTATAAAGCTAAAAAATATATAAGTGCAAATCGGACTACATATTATATTAAAAATTATTAAAAATGCTAAGTCAGCTGTCACGTAAGCAGGTAACCTGTTATTCAGTGAAATTGCATACATTTGAAGTGTTCAGTGGTCTAATTGCACGTTTTTGGAATGTTAAGTAGCCTAATTGCATTTTTGTTTTTTGTTTTTTTTTTTCGTTCAGTGGTCTAATTACATTTTCAGGTTACGTTCAGCGTGGCCAATTTAAACCTTATTCCTATATTATATATGGACTATAAATTTGTAAATTAACAAGTATGAAATATATTGTGTGATTCTGTATCGATTAACGGATCAACTTAGCATGTTTCCTATTCATATAGTTTCTCTAGTGAATAATTTATTTCAACTCGTTTAGGGCCGCATTGATGAGGTTCTGGCCATTTCCAAGGATCGGGTTTCTACCCTTCAAGCATTCCACAATTTCCTTTGCATCTGTTTCTATGATGATGATGATTTTTTTTTTTTTTTTTGAAGATTAGTTTCTATGATGATTTTCTTCACCACAAGGTATATATGCTAACAATGAATTCAAACCCAAAATTATTATTCGAATAATGCTACTTATTTCTCATAATTTGACATCTTAATAATTAATATTCATATAGATAATAAAAAAAAAATTATTCACTACTATGAGTCTATGACTTAGTTGACCCACCTAGTGTGAAATCGAGAGAGAATATAAGATATATAAGATAACCAATATTATATTTGCTTAAGAATATAATAAGATTGTGATAAGAGTCAAATAGATTCTCAACTATATACCAAAAGTGTAATTAGATCATCGAATTAAAAACTCTTATATTACTCTTAAACTTTTTTTTTTTTTTTAATGCTACTGGCTCTATAAGGTGCTTGACACCCTTAAACTTGTTAAAATTGTGCAATTAACCTATAATGTTGCCACTCTGGATAACTTGTGTAATTAGATCATCGAATTAAAAACTCTTATATTACTCTTAAACTTTTTTTTTTTTTTTAATGCTACTGGCTCTATAAGGTGCTTGACACCCTTAAACTTGTTAAAATTGTGCAATTAACCTATAATGTTGCCACTCTGGATAACTTTCACCCCGGACTCTTCTCTTTAAACTTTATTATCAAGCACCGAGTAGTCCTCGCACCAAATGATACGGTACTCAAGTCAAGACCCTAACTCCACCACGAAAGCTAGCTCATGAGTGGAGGTTTGGGCCCAACTTAAGTATCACTTCACAATCTCTTGTGGAGCCGATGTGGGATCGTATCACGTACATTAATATTTTGTAAAATTATATTTTTATAAAATTAAAACAATTATATTAATTATAAAAACATAGGCAACAATCTGCCATGACTTCTTTGTCTATGGCAGCTGCTATGGACGAAGAAACTTGACGGAGAAAGCCGTCGGCTCCTTCGTCAGATTGAGGAAAAGTGTAACGCCAGTAATAGTTTAGGGACGGAAAGTGAACACGATCAATAACTAGCAGGAATAAATTCCACAATTACTCTATAATTTATGAACGGAAATAAATTTTACAATTACTCTATAATTTATGAACGGAAAGTTTAATTTTTCCAAGTAAAAATAGGAGGTAGAACAACATAGGAGTCTAGTATTTTTCTTTATATTGCATAACATTGTTAAGATAATGACATTTCGTGAACCAAATGTCATATAATTTTTTTTTTTTTTTAAAGAAAATGAAATGCACCACATATTATTTAAGAGCATTCCTCCATTCTAGACGGGAATCTTGAATCACGGCACCGGCAAAGATGTACAAGCCCGGAAAGTAAAGTCTAAATTTGATTAGTGTTGGGCCATGTCTGAGCTGTGAAGATCCAACCCAGAACCATGCATACTGGAATGATGATTTCTCGACAGCCCACGATAGGCCCCAGTGCAGAGATTTGCAGCATTTTATCAATCGTTAAGCCACGGATTATTGGACAACCTTAACAGTTCTTCCAAAGATTTGGGTTCAATGGATTATCCCTTAAGAGTTCAAATAATGGAGCTGTGCAGAAGAGCCAGTCAGGTAAAATCTTGAATCCTGGTAAGATTAATCTTGTTTGCTACCTACAATTCAAACATTTGACTGAGTTAAAGCATGCACAAGTGGGAGAAAATCATACTTTCTCAATTAAAAAAAGTAAAACTTTCATGGCTGCTAAATGATGTAACTTGTGTAAATAAATAAATAAATAAATGAAACATGATGACCAGTGCAAAGGTTGAATCTTTATCCGTTTGAGTCCCCTTTCCAATTTTGCATGCATATATATCAACATGTCTCTTCTAGAACAGTAAAAACAAAACAAAAGACTTAAAAGACCAACTTCATTCTTTTCACCAATCTTCTTGTCTTTGACTCTGCTTATATGACTCACAAGAAAGTGATTCATAGACTAGGTGCTTCAAGCCTGTTGAATGGAACAAGTGCTAGAAGAGATTCTAAATTAGTCAGCACTTAATGTGATTATTAGATGTTGGGATATTATGACTTAGCCTTTGATTTTTTTTAATTTTTTTTTGGATTACGAGGAAAACTGTAGTCACTGTCTAAGGATTTCCACTGGGTAAATCTTGACTTGTGACTTTAGTCGGCAAAGGATCACAATGAGATAAACTAGCCTAGGCTGTCCATAGCTGAACAGCTCAAACCAATAAGGTCAATAGGCAGATCCCTTGGAAGTCGAAGGTTTTGGATCTTTGTGATTACCAAGCTAACCGCCTGACCAACTTGGTTAGGGTTGCCCCGGCCTACGATATTGATTTGATTATAAAGTGGACTGAAGCAAAGTGCATTTCTTTGGGCTCTAAGATCCTTGAACCTGCCATTTGAAGAATTAGGCAAGTTGTTTTGCAACTTTATTGAACTGATAGGTGGTAGTGTTTTACTGGAATTTTACAACTTACTAAGCAGAACACACACACACATACCTTAAAAAGTTATGATTTTGACAGACTATAACATCATGGCTTCTAAGATTACCCATTGGCAAGGGGTTTAGTTCTTGTGTAGTTACCTAACTTGCAATCTGAGATGAATATTTAATGGAAAGCTGATTTTGAAACTCATAGAATTCTATGTGTTTTTGTCATTGTTTCTCCTTCTTTTGCCACCAACCATAACCACTTCAATTGAATTTTATGGTCCCCATCACTTGGACCAGACTATCCCTTTCAAGCTGTACAACTGGGGAACTTTTGGCATTACCATTGGCACCAATCACCTCACAGTACATTTTTTTAGGTAATATGTCAATTTTGAAAGCAAAAGAAAGAATAAGGACCCTAGGTAGGCTTGGTGGTGAGTTTCAATATATTCGGAAAAAGTTTCTTTCCTCTATGCTCTAATCCTATTATTTATCTAAATGTGATTTGTGACAGCTTTATATTTCAGAGTTTTAAACAATTTGAGCACCTCTGGAATTGTAAGACAGATAGATTACCTTAAGACATATTCTGGAATGCACTATCTGGTTGGGTCCCCAGTAATAAACTCTGAATTCTTTCCATCCACGGCTAAGTCATAATGTTTTCCCATCACTGGAGGTAAGTGGAAAGTTCAACTAGAATGTGATCAATCGTTTTCCCATTTAGCTTTGCTCACATATGGGCGGGCCATTTGTTTACGTAATTAATCCCAATTTCATGGATATAAGAGCTATTTAAAGAAAAATATTAATCTCCATTGCCTTTTATTAATTAGAGAAAAATAGCCACTTGATTTAAATGTTTTCTGTATTATATCCACTTAATCTTAGTGCTTTGATCAGGTTAGGAATTTAAAAGAATAGAAGAGCAGTAAAGTTCATGAGCTAAATATTCCTTCACCATGTGGTATATTTTATATTATGGCAGGTAACAATAAAGGTGTCTTCCACTATATAGCTTAATGCATTTATATTCAGATGTTACTCAAAATAACAAGCTAGAGAGTTTATAATGTTCTCCTTCTGACTGGTGAGTGGGCCTAGCACTCATAGAATCTTTCATTATTTAAACCGTAAATTTCTTCAGAGCCATACCGAAGAAGATCGAACCAGGCATAGTGCCAAAATTTCCAGGCATTCTTCTCCAATACAATAACGGTTTAGTGCCTACGACATAAAACATGTATGCTTTCCACACGTGTTAAGCACACAAATAGGGTTCACTGGTTTCCATTTTCCACATACGTATAGGCATTCAAAAAAGTTCGAGAGATGTATTAGCCATTAGGACACATGTTAGGACAGGCTAGTGAGAACAAAAAGAAGTGCTTGTTTATTCCCACCATCCACCTTTTCGCCTCTACCTTTGTCTTGCCTGGACCAGGGAAAAAAATAAAATTGTGGCAAATGAGATAGTAGTGCTTGTTTTCTAAAGTGCTGCAAGATTCTCGTAATCCTTCTTGGAGAATGTGGAATGTCTACTCACAGGCTCACAGCACAGTGTTCTATCTCTCTCGTAGGTGCACATGTGCAGAATTGTGCAGGCCGTGCACTAGGAAACCAACAATTCGCAGTATAGCAATATGCAGATACTTGATTGTTAAATTTAAGGATTGATGTTTTCTTGCGAAAGTTATCCACTTTGTATCCACTAAACACTAGGAAGAGTGCCTAGCATTCTAGGATAACCTGAAGAATAGAAAATTAATACTCTGTACTTGAATTCTTGGGGAATCAGTTCATGTGTTTATAGAGATTTTCCTACTATTATCAGTTAATTAGATCAGGAGTAAATTCAGATCAGATCTTTTTAGTCTTTACTGAAAGCATATTTTCACCACTAACGCGATTGTCATAAGATATTGCGTATAGAATCACTTATCACAATCTTGAGTACTACTTTGCAACTTGCAAGTAGTGGCAATGTATCCTAGAAAGGGTCTTTTCACTTTCAAACAGGTCCCCGCTGAGGCAGTTATTATTTTCAAGATTATGATGTCTGCTTTTCATAATATATGGATTTTTCATTTCGAAACATCTATTTCTGTACACCAATCCAGAGGTGTTGTGTATATAGGTAATTTCATCTGTGTTTTTCATTGAAATTTATTTACTGAAAAAGCACATTTTCCAGCTTATATGGAAATTACGTTTCGTGGTGATTATTTCCAGATCCGGTTGCTTAATGTAGGACAGCAACTATACGACTATTAGTGAGCATGTTCAGTGGTGAGCAGCAGAAGTTCATTTATCATAATTGATTAGGACTCGTCTTGATCCTTAGTTTCACTTTTGTTTTTCACATCTTTTTCACCATGGGTCCAATGAGAAAGTGGGATTGTCATGAAGGGTTAAATCTTGTTTATTGATCCCCATCTTCTTGTAACTGGTAATTAAGGACTTAAATTTTCTCGCTATATCCTTTCTGAACTAACCCAAAATAATGCATTACTTAAAAGTATTTTAAGTAACATGGCTATCTGTTATTGCATCTATTGTACAGTTCAGGTGCTAGCAACACAGACCATTTAGCAACGTTGCAGTGCCATAAAAGTACATGCTTTGGAGAAAAATGGAAGGCATTTGTATAACATTTTTTTGAGGCTACTGACTCTATTACAGTGTAGTATCTGTTCATACATACTTTATCAACCTATTGAAACAGAAAGAGTCAAATCCCCCACACTGGGGTATGGTAAGGTATGGTGGGGTGGTCTCTTCATTCACATAACTTTCTAAGTTTGCAATTTGTTGAGGGTCCCACATACAATGGAATATTTTAGTTCTTCTTTTACGCCTAAAAAGCCCACACAGCCATGCCTTTGAACATAAGACCTCTGTTTGTGTTGGACCATATGGTTATAAATGTGAGCTAGGTGAGAGTGTACCACATGTGGTTTCCGAATTCCAAATATTCCTCTTTCCCACATCTCTCTCAATTTATCCTTCCCTAATAACCGAACATTTTAGCCTTGTATACAGGTCTTGGAGACTTGGAGAAGGTGGTTTGGGTTGTGGAACGACGAAGGCTAGTTGAGCAAGATGGAGAAGCAGGGCACGTGCATTACTAACTCATGCACTTTAACCCGAAGCTAGCTTAATGTTAGCTAGGCATCATATGGTTGCCACATGTAATCCATAGATATGGTGCATTGTGTGCTTAGCTTCAACTGGCTCAATGAGTTAGTACTTCATGTGCCTGCCTTCCCCATCGTGATCACTCGACCTTATACTAATGGATTCACAGGATGGATTGCTGCCCGAAACCCTCTACAACACTAGTCTCAGCAGATCTCTGTCGCAGCCTTGCAGGTAATTCTTGTCGAAACTGGGAATATATAAATTCAAGAAACTTTAAACAGTTGAGTTTACACTTCTTTTTGATTGTTCATCTGCTGAGAATTACAATTCAATAATTTGGATGATTGTGAAGAGAACGATGTAGAAAATTCCCAGCCAGTTGCAGTGGATAAAATGCCTAAATTAAAAAGGATAAACATATCATGTAGAAGTATTGATATGTCTACAAGCAAGAAGGGAGGAAATGGGGCACTTTTTTCCCCGGATCTAATCTTAGTAGCTTCGTTTTCTGCCACTGTTGATTGAGTGAGTGGCCACAATCATCAGTACACAGTTGTGTTATGTAGTTGTAACAATTTTCATGTTATCCACCATTACAGAGAGCACTCGGAAGCCGAATTGAATGTTTCAGAATCCAAGGTTGATGTTTGGTTGGAAGCTAGCTAGCTAGCTACTTCTCATCTATTAGTAAGTTGCAATCTTCTCCATCTCTGCATCTTTTTTGCGATTTACTTTTGCCCTGTGGAGATGAATGTTTTGCTTTCTCACAGAAACTTTGAACTATGGTTTATGGTTATCACTTGTAATATGTCCACTTCAATGATTTTGAATGTTGAGTTTCAATTCTTTATAGATCCCAGCCATTTGTATGACCCTTGGGCTAAACTGCATAGGTTGCAACATGCATGTGTGTGTTTGTGTTTGATTTTTTTTTTTTTCTTATATTCAATAATCCTTTATTTTAATGGTTAAAAGGGTTTGATGAATGTTTGTGTTTGGACCGGATAATTCCAGTTAAATTGATCAGGCTATTAACTTGCTTACAAGTTTGACTCCCAGCGGAAATGACCTATTGGTCTTCTTAGTTTGAACCCGTCAACTATAGTTACTTGTGGTCATGAGTCTTTTGCCAAAGGTTTGTGAACAACCTTGGGTAGTGGCCGGGGTTTTTTCTTGTCACTCAAGAAAAGGGTTCACTGGAACCAGTGATAGAGCTGAACATGAGGAGAGAGATGTTGAGCTTGAAGGACATCATATCAATGGCGACCAATGGTTCAAGGTTAGAGGCAAAATATTGCAGAGCATTCATGCAAGATCGCCGTGTTTTGGTCTTTCTTCATCTCCCCATATTCATACTATTATTTCCCTAATTTTAATTGATCTGATCATCATTTCCTGCAATATAATTTCCCCCACATTTGCATGCATGCATGCATCCCCAAATCTCATTCTGCTAGATTGCATTGATTATTGTATGCATTGGTTTTCCCCTTCGTCTATATAAAGATGAGATATAGAAACATATAATCAGTTTCTCTAAACAATCACGTAAGTTTCAATACTAACTTTCTCTAAGTGGATGGAAATAAAGATCATTGTATAAAATTTTAAGGGGTATCCCTCGCTAATCCGTTACTATTTATTATAGATTTTTTTCTTTTTAACGATTAAAATCTTTCGTAATTCGTTATTTTCACTTCTTTTTTTTTTAGTGTACAGCTTACAAAGGAGAGAGCACAAAACATCTACTTGCCATATCCGACTTCAATTGCCATGTATGTATACTTTCTCTTCATAATCTCAAATGGAAGATTAAAGTAAACCTCTTAACCGGCCACTATCCAATACTATATTAATGTATGTATACTTTCTCTTCATAATCTCAAATGGAAGATTAAAGTAAACCTCTTAACCGGCCACTATCCAATACTATATTAATTAAGTAATCTATACCTTTTCCAACAATGCGTTTAACTTTCACGACTTTAAAACTTCATTTTAAATAGCGTTTACCGCTAGTTTTTAGTCAATTTTTACCGACTAACCCAAACTTGAGAATCTTATATTAGAGTCTAAAATGGTCATGAGTTCATGACGCACTCATAACTAGTTAGGATTTTTTTACTGAAATGAGTAATTTTATAAATGAGTAGAAAAAAATAAACAACTTCTAAAACTTAGAAAAAATGTGTCAGTAATTTTATAAACGAGTAGAAAAAAATAAACAACTTTTAAAACTTAGAAAAAATGTGTTTGGGAGACTGATGCGTTTATGCCTTTGACTAGACTTCAAACGCATCATCCAAATGTTTTTGTAGTGTTCTCTTTTTTTTTTTTTTTTTTTTTTTTTCTGAAATACCTCAAACGCATCTCGCAAATTATTAAAATGATATATTGAAATCTACATACAAATCTAATAAGAGCGAATAGCTAATAATAATAATAATCTAATAAAAGCCGATAAAGTTAGGCCAGGAACTAAAAAATGTTGGTCCAATTGTTTGAATTGGAATGGATGGTTCATATTATTTTGTTTTTAGTATTTTTTTAATTATTTTTCATACTTTGTCCTCTATTATATCATTTACTTTTTCTAAATATCCACACACATTCCGTCAGTCAATCAGTGTAAACTTTAGTAACGAAATATTCCGTTAACTATTTATTATTTTTAACTTACTCATTGATTTCTATAAGGAAGGTCTTAAGCTCGAACCCCATCCCAATCAGAGTTGACATAATTGTTGAACATATACTATGAATGAATATGTTAGAGTGTATTAAAAAAAATAGAATATAAAGTTTAACATGAACTTTGGTCAATTAATTAACCAGAATATATACATAGCATTTAAAGTTGAGAATCAAATGTTACAAACAAGGAACCTTGAAAATTATTTTCTTGAATTTTTTTAAAAACAAATCTAGATTAAGTTTTTATTCTTTTTTTTTTTAGTTTAATTAATTTTCTTTTGATTATTTAAAACAAGTCTCAATATTTTAAGTATGCTTTTGCATTATTGGGAATGATTTAGGTCATTACGGTATTAATATTTTTTTTTATGTATTTCTATAATGATATAATTATACATTATTTTACAAATATTGTACTATTATTTTTTTTAATAATAATATAATAACATATACTCTGGTTTATGATATAATTTGCGGATTAGAAGCTAGTTGTTGCTTGCCCATTATGGATATTTAAGAGCTTCAATCTACTTCCTAATGGATATAGAAGATATTCGGAGGCCCACTTTTGAGGACTTAAACAATATAACTTGAAGCCTTTTAATGGGACGTTATGCCATGGAACCGTGTTCACCATTCATGGTGAACACGGTTCATGGTGAACACGGTTCCAACGGTGTTAGTACACCGTTATCTTTTTTTTTTTTTTCTTAATTAATTGCGTGACTTTTTTTCTTTATTTTCACATTTTGCGGTTTCACTTTAATTTGAGGTGAACAAAGATTTCGGACATTCATAAATTATGAATTCATGCCTGCACATTCACTTTGGAACCATGCCTACACATTCCCGTCCGAAATCACGGACATTCATAAATTATGAATCCATGCCTGCACATTCACTTTGGAACCATGCCTACACATTCACTTTGGAACCATGAGATTATGAATTTTCTGTTATAAGATTATGAATTTTCTGTTATGAGATTATGAATTTTCAGTTATGAGATTATGAATTTTCTGTTATGCGATTATGAATTTTCTGTTATGAGATTATGAATTTTCATTACATTCATAATTTCGGACATTCATAAATTATGAATTCATGCCTGCACATTCACTTTGGAACCATGCCTACATATTCCCGTCCGAAATCACGGACATTCATAAATTATGAATCCATGCCTGCACATTCACTTTGGAACCATGCCTACACATTCACTTTGGAACCATGAGATTATGAATTTTCTGTTATAAGATTATGAATTTTCTGTTATGAGATTATGAATTTTCAGTTGGGAGATTATGAATTTTCTGTTATGCGATTATGAATTTTCTGTTATGAGATTATGAATTTTCATAAAATTCATAATCTCATAACAGAAAATTCATAATTTGATCAAACGCGCGCCGTTAACTCCACATTCGCGATTTTTTTTTTTTTTTTTTTGCCTAAAAACGACGTCGTTTTGCCATGTGTTCACCATTCTCGGTGAACACGATTCCATGGCATAATTTGCGCCTTTTAATGGTGTTGGCCACGAATCCTTATTTGGAATCCAAATTGAAGATTTTACAGTTGAGATTTTTTTTTTTTTAGATCTGATGGTGTGTAATGAGTAAATCTTACTCATATGTAATAATTTACAAATTATATAGGAGACATAAACTGCAGTATAAAGACTATGTACGACGAGTTCAGCCAAAAGTCCAAAAGGTGTTGACAATAATTAAACTTGTGACATTCTGATATGAGAATCATGATTCATACATTCGATCACCACTTTCGGGGTAATCAGATATATATATATATATATATATATATATATATATTTTTTTTTTTTTTTTTTTTTTTTGGTTTGCCTAGTCCATGATATGCTTATAATTTTGAGGGTTAAATTATTATATATCTTTACTTGTTTACTTTTTTTTTGTGGGGCGGTCCACTACTACAACCACTTTTCATTGAAAGTGATTTGGACAATTGTTATACCCTACATCACGGCGCACGTAGCACTGTGCGCTGCGCGCCTCCCAAAACGACGTCGTTTTGGGGTCGTTTTGGGAGGCGCTGTAGAAAGTTACTGTGATTATGTGTATTTGTTCACACAATTATGTATATTTGTTCATACAATTATGTATATTTGTTCATACAGTTATGTGCATTTTTTATACAATTATGTATATTTTTTTATACAATTATGTACATCCGAATCAGAAAATTTGTGTGTATTATGTTAAGAGTTGATGTGTATTATATTAAAAGTTTATGTTTATTATGTATTATGTTAGATTATGTGTATTATCTTTTAAAAAGAGTATGTATATTTTGTTATATAATTATGTACATTCATGTATATAAGTATGTGTATTTTAGTATAACATTATGTACATTTTTGAACAGGGGTTTTTTTAAAGAAAAAATAACTGTCATTCACTAGTGCAGGAAATTTCAAAAAAAAAAAAAAAAATTAAAACGACGTCGTTTTGCATCTGGGCGCACAGTGCAATGCGCACCATGGTGTAGGATATAAATTGCCTCATTTGGATGAATTGTTATTGGAGCAATTGTAACAATATTAACAAGAAAAATAAGTATCCGATAAGAGTAACACATAATTGAAATAGTTGAATAGTTCCGATTACACCTTGATCACATTCTCAAGTGGAACTTGAACCGAAACTCCATAAAACTATCCACGACTCCAATTCTAACGGTATGGCCCAATTTGAATCTAATGATATTTTTCAGATTTTCGTTATCCCAAACCACACAAAGCTTCAACTTGTGTCTTGTTCGGCGATAATTGTCGTTATCATTATAACCGTTATGGCTCAGTCCTGCAAAGAACAACAACAGATTAAATTGAATGTCAGAAAAAAATAAATTATATATTCTCAAACATCACATTCAACACCGAAGAAAAACCTGGGAGTGGTCG